TTTTCACAATAAAAATACATTATAATAATAAAATATGTGACAGTCCCAAGAACGTGCGACTAACGAGCCACCAGCTCATACGTACAACAGTTATTYACTGACTTCACTACAATAAATAACAGGTGCTACTATAAGAGTATACTAGTTGCGCCGAGAGAGCGCAAGTCTGCCGCGCATCCAAATGAAGTCGCTCCGCGGTTTCGAGGTCTAATTTCTCCCACCAAGTCGACTGGTCGTACGCCGTGGTAAACCACCCAGCGCTTTACGACTGTTATCGTATTTTGCCAGTTCACGTCAATTATCAATCATTACTTTATTGTTTATTTTAGTTATCAATTTATCATTTATTTTATATACAAATAATATTTACAAATTATTACAATATAATACATCGCATATACAAATACTATTTACAATATAATACATCATACACATAATATTTACAATATAAAATATATCGTCTGTGCAACTTAGGTTAGTTGGTCATCATCAGAGTCATCAGACTCGGAATCGGAAGTGTTTCCGGTAATGGTTAAGACATGTTGAATACAAATACTATTTACAATATAATACATCATACACATAATATTTACAAGATAAAATATATCGTCTGTGCAACTTAGGTTAGTTGGTCATCATCAGAGTCATCAGACTCGGAATCGGAAGTGTTTCCGGTAATGATTAAAACATGTTGATTCGAGGGTTCCGCATCCAACATGTCATCGGTGATGAAGTCGATCTCGCAAAACTTCTCCTCCTCTTTAATAACGTGGCTTATAAAATTTTTCCACATGTCGGGTGATACTCGTTCCACGCCTTCAATCAACAATTGTTTTACATCTGGTAATTTATAGGTTGTATTGTTCATTTTAACGTACTGTTTTACAGAAGACCACGCCAACTCAATAGGATTTAGTTCACAGTGATATGGTGGTAGTCTAAGTACAATTTTATTGTTTTCTTTTGCCAATTCATCAATAACGTACTTGTTACAATCCGTTCGAAATTCTTGTGCCTCTTCCAAGAGTCGATCTTTGACAATACGTTGAACCTTTGAATAATTTTTTCCTTTTTCCAAGAAGATTGGAGAAACGTTTCTTTTTAACCGAATGGTACGGCGCATTGTCCATAACGATTACTGAATTTTCTTTTAGTAATGGTAAAATACTACTAAACCATTCATAAAATGTGTTGCCATTCATTTCGTCGTGGTAATCACTTGTATTTTTTTTAGATTCAAAAACCAAGAGACCACCAGCGACGAAACCATCAGACGATCCTATATGGACAATATTTGCCTTTACCAGACGGATATTTTTGTCCAGTAGTTAGCCCTTTTAAAAATGCGTCTTGATGTGATTTTATTGTTTTATCGACCCACGATTTTGAAGTCGTTTCCCCAGCGTTTACCCAAGTCGCATCAAGGTAGTAAATTGGATGACCTTGGCTGCGATAAAATTTAAGTTTTTCCAAATACCTTTGTCGCCAGCAGACTAATTCGCTTCGTTCAGTCAGTGCACTGTTACGAGTTTTTTTGGTATATACGAAACTTAAATGTTTTAAAATTGTGCGTAAAGATGTGCATTTCAAATTTGGTAAACTAGGATCATCATTGACGGCAGTAAGAATTTTTTGCAAAGTTGGTATTTCTCTTCGAAACCAGAACCCATGAATTTTTTGCCGAATAGCATTTTTGTCAAACTCGTCAATTTTTTCGATAATTGTTGGCCTTATTTTATTTTTATTAGGAGAAGAAATGATACCTTTTTTTTATAATCCGATAACGTTGTTGTGATGGAGCGTTGTCCAATACCGGTATAATGTGAAATGAATTTGATTATGTCTACTTCGGCTTTTGCTCAACTGGCAGATTGGCTCCCTCTATCATTTTCATTTTGTACATATTTATGATAATTTCTTTTTTTTTTTGCTACCAACAAACTACAAAAAATGTTTGATATTAGTAAGTAAATTATGATACAATGTGTTATATAATACAAATTCATAATGATATATTGTGATAATTAATTGTATTCAATTGTGCTTACCTTTCCACATGGATTTTTTTTTATTGGTGAAACAAAACAGCAGAATTTACCTCTTCCATTTTAAAAAATATGTATACAAACTGTATATAAAAAAGCAGTAAGAAAGATTTGAGTTAATAAATCGTACACTGTGTATTAACGAAAACACGTGATTATAGTCTAATCTAATCGCTATTTGCTTATCACAATGAAGTGGCTATTGTTTACGAGTACACGGTAGTCGGTAATTAACGAAAAAACGTGGTTATCGCAAGGCGCCAGGCGGTGGTTACTGTTTACGAGTCGCGACGACGCGACGCGCGACGGTCGACGATGTGAGCCGATTATCCGACGGTGGGAGTCACATTGGTGGGGGATGCGCGAACTACAACGATTTTTGGTCGCCGCCGACTTGCGCTCTCTCGGCGCAACTAGTATAGTATGAATATGTATGTTCAGCAGCACCTCCCCCTTAAATTTTAAATGTAAAATCATAGGCACCTCTGTACAGGCAATTCGTAGCACATGCACCTCCCAAACTTGTGTTAATTACCAGGGCTTGAAACCGGTATTGAAATCGGTTTCATATACCGGTTAAAACCCTTACAAAATCGAAATCAAAATTGAAACCGTAAAATGTTGATAACGGTATTCTAAATAATAAAAGAAACGGATAAAAGTTGAAAACCGTTTTTAAAATTAAAATCAATACCAGAAAAAATAGATAAACGGTATAAGTAAACTGAAAAAAAAATCTATCATTATTTTAAATTAAAATCAAAACCGATAAAAACGGAAAACGTTATTAGAAAATCTAATCAAAACCGAAAAAACTGTATATTGCTAAAAGAAATTGAAATCAAAACCGAAAAAAAACGTATAACGCTATTAGAATTTATAATCAAAACCGATAAAAACAGATAACGTTATTAGAAATTGTAATCAAAAAAAAAAAAAATAATAATAATAACAATATTTGTATCAGAAAATAAAAAACGGGATACGAGAGTATAATAGTCACGGTTTAAGATTTCTATCTTAAACCGTGGTTATAGTAAATACTTTATAGTATTATAGTTCATAATTATATTTATAGTTATACAGTATACTATAATTAAAATTAAAATAGTTACTGATATGATACTGCTGTGGGTTTTGATGGTATTTCGGTAAAGATTTTAAAACTTGTAATAGACAGCATTATAAGCCCTCTGACATATATGTATATATAACTTAAGTATTAAAAATGGTATTTTTCCCGAGAAACTTAAATTAGCTATAATTAAACCAATATATAAAAATGGGGATAAAACGTGCATAAACAATTATAGACTAATTTCCACGCTTAGCAATTCTTCAAAAATCCTAGAGAAAATCGTTAAAAACAGGCTCATAACATTTTTAGAAAAACATGAACTCCTTTCGAAACAGCAGTTTGGTTTTAGACCAGGTTTGGGAACGGAGAATGCTTTATATAGTGCAACACACTTTATAAAAAACGCTCTAGACAACAGTAAGAAAGTAATAGCGATTTTTCTTGATTTGTCCAAAGCCTTTGATACTGTTAATCATAAAAAATTAATAAATATTTTACCTAATTTTGGTATCACTGCAACAAGCTTAATTTGGTTCACAAGCTACTTGGAAAACAGAAAGCAAACTGTTCGTATTAATGGTCTTACAGGTGATGATCTATTTATAAACTGCGGTGTCCCTCAAGGAAGTGTGTTAGGTCCACTCTTATTTATTTTGTACATAAATCATATGTGTAATTTGGACATTGGCGGAAGAATAGTTATATATGCAGATGACACCTGCTTACTCTATTGTGGAGACTCTTGGAGCGATGTTAGTACCACAGGAACTCGAGAATCCAAAATTGTTGTGGAATTTCTAAAACTCAGGAGTCTATCTATCAATTTCAAAAAAACTATGTTTATGAACTTTTCGATAAATGATGTTAAAGATAATTTTGATGAACTTACGTTACATTTCTGTGATAATGGAACATTGTGTAATGGCACAGTCTGTCAAAAATTATTTAGAGTATCTAGTACCCGATATCTAGGTTTAACGTTTGACAATCACCTTAGATGGAATCTTCATGTGAGGTTAGGTTATCTAAAATCAAAATCGAAATCGGTAAAAGTAAATACCAGTAACCGAAACCGAAATTGAAATCCAAAAATTTTTTTTCGGATTCAAGCCCTGTTAATTACTCAATGTAGGCAACCCGCAATACACATTAACTCGTCACAGCCGCCCGATCAGACACGTGACCGACATATATTTTACCCCTCCCCTTTTAGTTCCCCTTATGAAATTTTTTTTCAATATCATATTCTGGTATACAATTGATTCGATCATAGGTATTGAACCTTTTTGGTGTTCGTTTCCTTCGCATCAACTCTAAGCCGAAATTTAAACATTTTAAGCCAAAATAACCTAACCTAACCACACACACACACACACGCACACTTTACATTATCTTATACATACACACATAAATATAATGATCATGCTCTTACATATTATAACACAATATACAAGCATGTTTTAAAGTGTATACAAATATTTTACATATATTATGAAAATGTAATTATTTATTTTTCTTAAACAAACACAGTAATTCATTCTTATACCACTAAGTCTGTTATTGTGCTAATAAATCACTTAGATAAATTAATTTCAAACGGTCATTTAAATTACAATATATTTTACTATACCTACTTCATTACCTATCTGGCACCTATTCATTGAAGTGTAAAGTCTTGTTTCGCGAGTTCAACTAGTATTCTTCAGTTTTCATTAAACGAAATCATGTTCTTGTGCAGTATATGCGATAAGACCTTTACTAGGATCTGTAGTCTACACAGACATGCCAAGTCACACGATTTTTCCAATAAGATTTCTTGCAGTATATGCTCAGAAATATTCACACGAAAAGATAACCTTATCCATAGGCGTGCGCAGCCCTCTTGTTCAGGGTATGCAGAAGCAGTGGCGGATCCAGGAGGGGGGGGGCAAAAGGGGCATTCTCCCCCCAATCGCCTTAGTTTCCCATTGTTTACAGTGTTTTCACTGTGTTTAGCCAATTTTGTACTTTTTCCTCCCCCCCCCCTAATTAAGCACTAGATTATCACAGGCACCCCCTGAAAGTTATTTTAAGAATGTAAAATTCTGATAAAATATATACACAATACACAAATATTCAAATGTCTTGCTGTTTAATTCAAAAAATTTACTTAAAACTCRAATAAAAATAAAAGTGATAAAACTTAAAATAGTTATGTCRTACAACTTGTACAATTAAAAAACAAACAAAAAAAAACATTATCATATTAATRAATAATATATTTTATTATAACATCATTCTGCGTTGTGTAGAATTTTTGAAATGATCAATTATATCGTCGGGATTTAAGTTAATAGCCATTTCTTGTTCTACCGTTATAAGCATCAATGCATTTAGTCTTTCTTGAAGCATAGTACTTCTTAACTTGGATTTTACTAATGTTAATTTTGAAAATGATCGTTCACATGTACAGCTTGTGACCGGTATAACWGCAAACTTCTTTAAAATTTTAGTAAATTGTCCAAAAATATTTTGTTTATCATAATTTTTTAACCATTGAAGCCAAATATGAAGCATTTTAGCGCCCAAGTTGCCTTCAATTTGTTTAGTTATTGTTTCATGTTTTTGTAACAAATTTATTTCAGCTACCAATTCATCTTTATTGCATTCAAAATGATTGCTTAATAAATTTATATCTGTGATACATATTTTTAATTTCATTAATCCATCAATTGCATTTATTAGATTGATAGTGTCTTGATTGAATCTTTCATCAATTCCACTAATCATAATATCAAGCATAGGATAAAATGATTGGACTCTTAATTCTTCCTCTAATGATTGTGCCTGGAACTGTGAATTAATATTGTCGATACGAGTTGAAACTTTTCGTTTTGTTGGTAATGGTAATGGAATATCAATTTTTTCACATATAGAAGTACAAATATCAAACATAGTTTTAAATGTATTTTCATTTCTTTTTTCAATAAGCACTRATCGAAGAGCGTTAATATTATACATTGCTGACGATAAATCAACATTCTCACACTGTAATGATTTGCTTACTTTATTTATAATTTGTAGAATTGGATCCAWMATTTCAAGTCCTAAAATAAATTGAAAAGTTTTGAGTTGAAACAATAAACCACGTCCTTTAGCTCTAACATCAGGTTGTTTTGTTCTATCTACTATTTCTTCAAGTGCTAATAAAATAGCCGAATAATTATGTTTTAAAGCTGACACTGCCTCAGAGCGACAGGCCCATCTCGTTGTAGATAAAGATTTCATTGACTTTAACGATGCATTGATATCAGCTGATATTCGTTCCAAAACTGCATGGCGTATAGCACTTCCTTCAATAAATGAATAAGTTAACTGTACTACTCCAAAAAAATCAAATACAATTCTATTTTCTTTTCTAGATGTACAAGCATCAACAAGAATTAAATTAAGACAGTGTGCATAACAGTGTACGTACATTATATTTGAATTTACTTCTTTACAYTTAGCTTGTACCCCTGAAATACAACCGGACATGGTAGAAGCCCCATCAAAACAAACTGAAACAACATGTCTCCACTGAATTTTTAAACTTTTTAGTACCATTGATAGCTCATTAAAAATTGACTGTGAATCAACAAGCTTCAATCAAGACTACGTATAATATCATGTTTAATTATTATATTAAAACTCATGTGATGGTAATATTTAATAGAGGTGTAAAAAAATTTTTAATTTATTCAAGTAGGTATATAATTAATAATAATACTATTTACAGGTTCAAATATTACAATTCAATAGCAACCAACCATAACCAAGCATGAAATTCGAGATTTTTTTAAACCAGCTGAACAAATTTACAATTATGATGGTAAATATATTAGGTACCTACTTTATAAAAAAATAGAAAACTACATGTAGAAATATTACTTTATCGATGAATTAAAATAAATATTGCTTTATACCAAAATATTTTGAGTTAAAATAATATTATTATAATTTTTTTAATCAATACAATCATAAGTATCTTAGTGAATACACATAAAAACATACAGAAACATCATCACTTCTTAGTAAAAAATAGGAAAAAATATACCAAGTTGCATAAAATCATAGAAAACATATAATAATTTAGATAAAATCCTGATAAATCCCATAATTATCATAGTTAACCCCATTAAGATCATATGTATATATTATATTATATTTATTTAATTTATATCGAAAGATTACAAGGCCTCACTGAGAAAAACTCGCGTGGAGGCCAAATATACTTGTCTTTTTAAACAACGTTATCAACTTTTTATGGATTGGGGGAAAAAATATACAAATTAAATTTGGATGTTACACGTGACAGGGCGACGTATGGTTGACCGTGAGAAAAACATTGAACACTTAGGTCAATTCCAGCAACGTTAAGTTTTTATCCCTGTGCATTATTTATAGTCATTGCAAATGCTAATTTTACAGGAAATTGAATACGTTTAAACTTAAAAGGTAAATCTGATGGTATAATTGGTATTCTTGGTATTAAAACAGTTATGATATGGAAAAAGCGGTGTGTACTAGTTGCGGTCATAATCAAAAATGACGTACTAGTTGCGGTCAGTCAAAACAATAACTAAGTATACTAAATAATATAATATAATATAGTTTATATAATAATTATTAATTAAATATGAAATTAATATTTTGTTTATTTATTTAATTTAGAAAAACGTATCAATCAACATTTTCCTTCCCATTTATATCGAAAATATATCATACTTAGGACTGTCTACACCAGGGGTCGGCAAGTAATTTCTATTGGAGTCCTAAAGATTAAAATAATAAATCAATGAGGTCCAGTGAAAAAAATCTTTTTCAAATCTTTATAGGTATATTAAAAATAGCAGTATAAAAATAAAAATAATTATTCAGTTATTACAATCAATTTATATTAAAAATTACAATATTAAAAGTATGAAAAAAAAATATATTTATTACAGTAAATTATTTAATGCGAAAAATTGCATTTCATTTCCTTAGCCAGCTTTTTGAAATCGGGAACTCGTGGAGAACAGCTTATGCGCAATGTGTTCTCAAGGTGAGAGTCTGTTTATTTTGTCCGATATTTGTTTTTAAAAAAATTAATTTTTGAAAACGATGCCTCACAAATGTATGTCGAACCAAACATCGTAGCCAAGTTGATTGCCAGTTGCTTACAGTTTGAATACTTGTCAATGGCATCTTTAGCCCAGAATTCTTCAGTTGACGCACTTCTGTACTGCTTCAAGGAAACATCTTCCTGTAAGTCAATTATTTCCATTTGGAGTTTTGACTTTGAAAGATTAAATAATTTTTCAGCTACATCAGTACATTCTCCGTCTGGGAGAACATCGTAAGGGGTTTTTAAGAATTGTGATAGTTTTCCTATTTCAGAAAAGTCTTTGAATCTAGTGTGTGTTGACAGGGTCCAGGGTCCATAGTTTTGCCTTCCGCGGTCCGGATCCGGACCGCGGTCCGCCAGTTGCCGATCCCTGGTCTACACACTATTATTTATTGTGTAGGTATAGTTAAAAATGTTGATACTTATGTTTAAATTATTCGAATATTCGAAACTATGATCGGAGTATACAATTTAATCTATTTTATTTATAAACGCTGTGTACATTATATCGAAAAATATGTTTATCGTATAATATACATTTCGCCTGGAATTGGTGTTAATAAAGCTATGACCGCAATTAAGATATTACCAAAATTGGTGTGACCGCAACTGTTATATATGTTTATCTCAAAAATCGTCATGACCGCAACTAGTATGCAGCCGGAAAAAGACTGCCGGCAACGTGGTAAAGCTGACCCTGCACTTTAAAGGTAGGCATAAACCCTTTATGAACTACCTGCTTGCTTCTGAATGAAGTCATTTGGAAAGCATTGTTGTAATAACGAATATCGCATGTGAATTGTTTATGTTTTGTGTGACTTCCATTAAGAAGGGAATTCAATGGTTCTGGTGGTATAATTATATCATCCAATTTTACTTTGCCATTAGAGAAACATAAGGTTTTGCATTCGTTTTTCCATCTCAGAGGAGAACAAAATTGGGAAACTATTGTAGGATTTCTATAAAAACTGATGTGTTATTTTTGTAATCCACCGTTAACTCATAGTTCATAGCAGAATAATCTTTTCTCGACCATTAATCTCTGTCGTTAACAACATCATCATTATTTGACTGTCATTCTCTGCGTACTACACGCATTCTTTTGGCATCATTCTGAGATCGACCAATATTTAACTTTCGTCTAAGCATTTTAAAAATGAAAGTAGTTCAATCAATTACGCCTTTAAATGATTAAACCAGCCAACAATCAACAGTTAATAAAATAACAATACTTATATATTTGACAGGCGACGCGAGCGCATAATACCTGCCTTGGTTATTAGCAGTATACAATATACATATAGAATATATAGGTATAAAATTTACACGTTTATTTAAATTAATAATAACTAATTATTTATTAACTTAATCGGACTAATTTTTTGCCTTAAACCTTCTCAGTGATGTCCTCTTTAATTTTAAAAAAAATGCACGACGATTGAATAAGTAGTTCCGGAGTTAATCCCAAACAAAAAAAAGCGACTTCATTTTATATAGTAGTATATAAAGGGTGATTTTTTTATCGTGAACCAGTTAATATCTCGGGAAGTATAAGGAATTTTAAAATAATTTGTTTTTTTAACTTTCTAGATTTTACTATTTTACACTGTGTTAGAATTTTGATAATTTTAACTTCCTCCCTTATTTTATAAAACACTATCAACTTTCTATTTTCAAATGGCAATACCTATTTTCGATCATGAAAATCTATAAACATAGTGAAAAAAATAATTTTAACGTTTACAGAATTTAATTTGAGTTATCCGTTTGCGACTTATTAATGCTTAAATAGGTATTCGTTTAATTTACTGCTACTGGGCAATTTTACAAACCCAACAGTAAAAACCAGAAGTCAAAWCGAAATTTTATCTCAATTTAACAATGCCCATAACGGTCATAATCGATAATAATAGATAGATAAACAATACTATTATAAAAAAAAAGTGTCCTATCACCACTCCCACCGGAACACTGAGTACCTATCAGTGAACATCTAGCCAGCACTCAGTGGTATCGCGACTGTATCAGCTATAAAGTATAAAAATAACATTTTAACATTTTACACTTTACCATCATGGTTACAAAATATAGTACCTACTGGTTACTGATTCCTGGTATACGATATTATCACGTATTATATAGTAGATAAACGATAATAAATGCCGGTAAACTGTTTCTGAAAACATGTGGTTGTTGGTTAATCGTTAATGTTAGTTTCCTATTATCAAATATGTAATATTAATTATTATTTATTAATTAATTACAATTCTTTGAATGTTTAATCAAAGAATACGTTTATGTGAATACTAAACTATGTGTATTATTTAAAATATAAATTTAATGTTTAAGCCAATTATTCCAATGCATACCTATTATATTTTTTGATTGTGTTTTAATGTTGTATTTTGGTTAACAAATTTGAATTTAATTAAAAAATATTCTTTCATCCAATCACCAATATTATTATGTATTTGGGAATCAGATTTCATACTTCGCCGACAACTTTATTTGTATAATTCATTCAATGAAACCCAAAATCCCACCCCCTGGATACGGCACTGATTCATTGATAAGTTCAACCTAAAACTAATATATTAGAACTTATTTTTTTTTTATCAAATGATTTATATCAACATATTGTCGACAAATAATAACCATGATTCAAATATTTTAATTTTATTTCAGTGGCATTTCATAGAATTGGTGTAATTAATCAAAAATATCAGTGAACTATATGACTAGACAACTCAATTTTGCCAGCAATTCATGCAAATTTATATTGCTTGCTACTGATATCTGATATGAAATAAAAGAATAAAATATATGTACATATTTCTATATTACATTATAATCTTTCAACAAACCAAACAATCAATTATGTAAGCATGAATTTTCTTTATAAAATAAATAATTTTAGGTTTGTCATAATTTTCGCTTATTTTTTAGAAAATGATTTTGTTTTCTTTCAAATTTCAATTGAAATTAGTAGTATTAACTTTTAATTCAAATATCTATAACAAGATTGGATGAACAAATACAATTTGTTATTTTGGTTAGTCTCAGCATAGTACTCACCTGATAACATAATAAGTATGAATAAATATTTTTTTTTATACAATAAATTATTTCTATAAATAATTTAATATTTTTATTTTATTCGGATTCGGATAAAAAAAACAGCGCAGCATCAAGACCAACTACTTTTATACTTGAAAAAATTTGTTGATTGTCACATTAATAGTTAATTGTATGTTTAAATAATTAGGTTAAGTTATTGATGAACTATTTTCCATAATTAAGGCTATGTAGTTTAGTAACCTAAAGTGGCAAATTGAAATTTTTTTTTAATATGATAGTATCATTTTAATGCAATATTAAAAGATTTTTGTATCATAAAATATTAATTAAAAATTAACATAATTATAGCCCTAAAAATATGTTGTAATCTATAGTAGATAATATAAAGTATGTTAAATGGTCATTTAATTTTTATTAATTTATCTAGGGTAGTGGGCATGTTAAGTGTTAATATTTTTTATTAGTTATGAGTTAGCCTGTTATGACCTTACCCAAATCCTGCAAAAATTCGCACTACGGAAATTTGTTCATACTCTAGTAAAATTATTGATAACTAATGTGTTTTTTGCCTTTGATAATTTAGTATTGAATTAATGTCCATTATTTGGTCTATTCACACACAAGATAGTTTTGATATAAATGCAAATTATACATTAAACAAAAAAATATCCCAGAATACCTATATTTATAAAAGTATAAATTTTGGGTAGGCGCTATGACAATGGCCTCTGGGCCTATAGCCTCGGCACCTCGCATCAGATTGGCAATACAGGACTCACTTCCTTGATGCACAAAACATTGTAATATCAGTCTAAAGTAGGTTATTTGTGTAATCAAAATAACTTACCTATCCAATTTTGTTTTTAGTATACACAGATTGATTTGTATTTATTTATTTTTATTGAAACGAAAACCTTAAATGATACGAGCAATGTAAAAATGTATTACTAAAAAAAAAATAATGTGTGAATAAAGAATAGACCTTTAACTACTTTAGTCTTGGCTCTAAATCCTGAATCCAAGTACATAAATTATACCTTTGTATCTGCATATTTATAAATTATTTCTCTAAACACATAGAAATTGTTGATTTACTTTGTTTTAAAATTAATAAATGTTATCTGTTTAATATAATCATTTACTATAGAATTAGTAATTAAGATACACCATATTGTTTTAAAAAATTATTTATTTTGTGATTTACTAGTCAATCTGATGTATAAATATAAATTATATTAATTAAATACATATAATTAACAAATTATACAACATAATATCTTCTTAACATACAGCATTTGGTTTTCCAAATGTATATAATTTTAGTTATCTAAGTTACATACCTACATATCAATATGAAACATAATTGATTGAAAGATGAATATGACATGTTTCACATAGGTAAAAAATATAAAGGTACATTTCCTATTTATTTCCTACATTTATAGTATTTTTGTTTTTTCACATTTTATCTGTTCTCCATTGAGTTAACATCTCACAGAGTTACTTTTAGATATATTAACTTACTGTTTGATATAATAGTTAAATATTTTATTTCAATAAAAAATATGGCTAAGATGGATGAATTTCCAAGTTTATATGAACTATTTTTAAAAGTTCATAAAAAAACTGTATCTAATGTGTATGAATCAGAATTTTATAAAATGGGCTATTTATTTTTATTAACAATCAAAGAGACAAATATTGATTATGATTTTTTAGATGTAAGGGAGATTGGATTATTTGTTGAAAATGTAAGTTATTATATAGCTGGTTTAGTGAGTAGAGCAATTGAAAATAAAATTAACTGTGAAAACTGTAAGAAAATGTTTTACATAAATACATCTGATAGCAATTCAAATAGAAGTCGGAAGCTGCTTAGTCAAAAGAACTGTGGAGGATTGTATAAGACCAGTCATACTATTATAAAAATATGCTTGGAAACGGNAACTTTCTAGATTTTACTATTTTACACTGTGTTACAATTTTGATAATTTTAACTTCCTCTCTTATTTTATAAAACACTATCAACTTTCGATTTTCAAATGCCAATACCTATTTTCGATCACGAAAATCTATAAACA